GTTTAATGTGACGGTTACTGGATCTATCTGATGGGTTTTATGTCCCTGAAAGCACGGAGGAAGGATGGCATTACATTATTAACCCAAAAGATTCAAAGTCGTAAGTCAAGCCATACCAATATTCAAAGATTGTACAGTGTATAGATATAGGTAGGCACATGTTTTGACTTCTTTATCCTCTGCTTTCAAAAGGAAATGGTTAACATCTCAGCCAAATTGCTGTGAATTCTACTACAAGTTAATTCTGATAAATTGTAATTGCTCAAAATTTGAATATGTGCAATCAAAAAAAAAAAAAAACAGACTTTGGCCACTAGAGTGAAATCATGGGCTGTAAGTTCTCAGGTTGTATTTTCCTGCCCAACACTGCTCTTCATGTTGTTCTCAATGTTACGTGTGCCTGCCAGTGCACCCTTAGAAGCAATTCCAGTGCCTCCAGGTATCCTGGTAAGTCAAGGGAATGCAACAACCACAGAGTAAACCATGGAAATCATCATTTAATCTTAATGTGGACAATCAAAAAGCCAAGGATAAGAGACAGAGGATGTAACATTCTTCTGATTCAAGAGAGTTGAGCGTCAAAACAAAAATATTGTAACAAATAGCCCAGTATTGATATTAATTTTTTCACGCTACTTATTTCTGTGTACTGGACTCCAAATAAATATTTAGAGGTACTGAAAACTGTTTCAGATTTCTGAACTTTGCGCCTCCATGCTCAGTCCACTTGAACGTTTCTTCTTCATTTGCCTCTGGCCTCAATTTGTGAAAATACTAGGTTTACTGTGGTATGCAAGGTAAGACTGGGGGAGAATAGAAAGGCTTCCTCTGTAAGGGCAGAATGGAAACGTTAGTGCAGGATTTTGGTCAGATTAAATAATCTCATTATTCTTTGAATCAAAATGAAAAACATTCAAGGCCACACTGGAAAAGGATGGAGAATTTTCTTGTTGATGGGCCAATTTGACCATTTCTGCTGAGACACCATGTGATTGATGATATCAAGAACGAACAATGCAATTAGATTAATTTACACATTAATTAGTTTATTGCTTTCTTTTTGTTTGGTCCCTAGTGTGTTTGTTTGCTTGTTTGTTTTTAAAAAAATTGAGTATGTTCTTTTGGAGCGGTTTAATTTCACTACTGAAAATCTGAGTGCCCACACAGCAACACCTGCCTTGTGAGTGAGTGAATAGAAGCCCTCTAGTAGCTGGAGAGGACACTTCAGCAGGGAAATAACACCTACAGCTCCCCCAGCTTCCCAGCCTGCGTCCTGCCCGCACTGGGGAGTATCTTGTGAGCGGGGTCTGCAGGGGACAAGCGGGGACGTGGTGCCAATCGGCAGCCACTGGTCACCACGAGGTCAGTGCGCTCGGGAAGCGCATGGTGGTGAGTGTCCTTTGAAAGGTGGTCGTACGCCAACCGGGACTGCTCACTGCTCATGTCCGAGTTCCACTTGGGGACGTGCAGACACTGTGCCCAAACCTGCACTGAATTTCTTATTAGCAAAGCTGACCAAATAAGTAGCATGTTTATGAGTAACATTAATGCTGAGTTTCTCCTATTTTGTTTCTTTAATCAGGTTTTTGCAATCACTGTGGCTGTTAAGGAGTTTTTCAATGGATTTTCAACTTCTCTGGCAGCTTAATTTCATAATGTTTCCTGAAAACCTTACAGATTAATCCAATTTAAGGATTAATTTCTTTTTAAACACTCTAATAGACTGCAGTTTTTCAAAAATGAATATAGTGACATGCATGTTCTGAATTTCCTTATATAGTATGTCCCTAAATCTATTATATGCTTTCATTTATTGCTCATAAAAGGAGATTTAACATAAAAGCTCTTTTAAGAATAAGACTAGGTTCTAACTATTTTATGTGAAAATGAAATAAAAGATGGTTTTAAAAGTTGCACTTTCCACCTGACATATCAATCAAATGCCCTACATAACATAGATGGAAGGCAGCGTCTGCACTTAAACACAACTCTTGGTAACTCCTTATTCTTAAATTGTGAAAGACAGCAATGAATACTATCAGGGATGTATTTGTTTAATCATATATTTTCCGTAAAAGTGAAGTCTAGTGTTGGCTCCATTAAAGAGTAGACTTCTTCCTGGCCCAGGCAGAAGTCCCTGCATTAGATGAAGGCATCTGGTGGGTGGGATGTGAGGCAAGCAAGTGGAATGCATCATTTTATTAAATATGAGTTAAACCCTTCAACCTGACTGGTATGTATTGCTCGTGAACCTCTTAGCCAACAAAATGTTCGATGAATTGCCCGCTCGTTCCACAGAAGCACTCTTGGAGCTGGTGAGAAATGATGTTTTGATCTAGAAGGCGGCAGTTGCAGAACAGATATACTTGGCTTCTTTTCCTCAATATTACAGAAGTTTGTTTGGTATGTATACATCAGATCTTCTCTAGCTTAGCTGAAATTTTGTTTTTCTAGTCCTGGGTCACTTGAGTTAAATGCAGGTATGCAGGGTTTAAAGTGAAAAAGAAATTGAAAATAATCAAATTTCTCAGAAATCTCAGTACAGCAAAAGTCTCATTTCTTTTTTGGGGTTTGTCTACAACCGTTTGTTTCCTACCATACGGTTACCACTTGAAAGTGAATAAGCCCCACTGGACTTTTCCAAACAGCTATTTTCTTGAGTGTTACCAAGTTGCTATTTTAAATTACATTATCTTATTTGCATCATATTTCAAATTTCATAATAGGTTCCTGGAGAAACACAAGGATTAAAAGCTCAAGCTTTTCGTTTCCCTGTGTTAGATCAAGGGATTGTAAGGGGAGCTCTCACCTCCTGTAAAATTCAGAGAAAGAAATATTAGACATGCCCTTAGCACTGTACTTTAGAAATAGTTGAAATATTGATTTTTTTAAAAAAATTGATTCCATATTTCTTGATTACCAAGTTCTAGCCCAAAGAAAGTCTTTATGGTTGAGATAAAAACCTTTGAAGGGAGAGGGGTTATAATGGAAAAGGCTGCCAGTCTCTTGACGTATAGCAACACTAGCCATTATAGGATGTGTGCACATTTGTGTGTGCGTGTGCACATACTTTGGTCATGACAGATGCTGAACATCATTTTTCCAAAAGGCTGCCCTTGAAAAATCTCAGCATCAGAGTACCAATAAATGATACAGAGTACTAAAAGCTGTAAAATGTCAAACAATATATAGCTTATGGCATGATGCAGTTTAATTTTCTAAGATGCCATCCCTGTAACTTTTGAGGCACTCTCTGCTAGAGCAGAAGTAACACTGAGAAATTGTGTGAAGAGGGTGGACAGAGAGTCATAAAGATTTGATGCCCCTAAAATGCCAGTAGGGGTAATTAGCCAACTGTCTGTTTCGCTTGCCGTTTAGCTTCTTGAGGTTGAAAAGCCTGGAATCCATTTTCAGAATTTAGTGTGGGGGTTGAGAAATTTCTACCTTTCTTGACTAGATTTTGCAAAGCATTTGGCACTTAATTGTAGATGGGATATGCCCTTTGCAATAGTTAGCCGCGTTTCTTTAGAAGTCTGTGTTTCTGATGTGCAGAAAAATCTTTTATTTTCCTCCAACATTTTCTGATAAATTTGAATTGCAATCTGACGGCATTAACCAATGCCTGTGACAAATTCTGCTTACAGTAAATGGATCTTTGGAAGGTAGGGAGGGTTGGTCATCCTTAAGCAGCTCCTGCCACTGATGATCAAGGAACTTGCTCCTTCTCCAAATTCAAAGGCAAAAACATGTTCCACTACTAAGGGGAAACTCCTAGTTTTTATTAAGAACTTTGATTCTGCTAAATCCTTACAGCTGCTTTGAATGCAGTGCATTACCATGCAGTACAGCTGAAATGAATGCAGTGCATTACCATAAAAATACCATAAGAGATAACCTAGACATAGTTAATGTTAAATTGATGAAAAAAATATTTGTGGAATGAATTTCAAATGAGCTTTTTCCTGCAACAAGTAGAAGCAGCTGTATGAGATAGTGCAAGTTTTTCTGTAATATTTGATTTTGGATAATTCAGTGATACCATAGGATCTATGCACTTATATGTGCCAGTTGTAAATAGGTATTAGTTGATCTTGTAGCAACCAACTTAAATTTTTAACCCTTATGACTGAGTTTTGATGTTTTGTGGTTCTTTTCATACCTTAGCAGATGATTCTGTCTTTAAAAGGACAATGTGTATTCAACAGCCCTGTGTCAATATAAAGCTTACTGAAGTCATTGAAACTATTTCCTTCAACAGAAATTAAGATTTGTTGAATTTTGAGTGCATTAATAGTTCATACATAAATACTGCATCTGAGCCATCTAGCAGAGGATGACAGTTCTCTCCAATTGGACTCACAGTTTCTGAGGTTACAGGGGGAAGGGCTATTGTTGTTGCAGCCAGGTTTCTTCTCCCTGAAAAACACACTGTGAAAGACTCCTTCCAGGTTTTTTTTTGTCTTAAAAAATCATATTCATCTTGTTTTAGCATGTGATTACTATAGACCTGAGGTTAACTTTGAAGTAAAGTGCATCTGGAAAAAGGTCCTTTGTTCTTTCAAAAGATGGCAGTACATAAAATTTAGAGGATAAGTTTTGTGTTGCATGAAATTTTAAATGTAACAGAAAATTTGAACTATACATTGAATGAATAATATGCATTTTCTTCTTCACTTGTGCTAACATCTTTAATTATAGTGAATTAAATTGATATGGATATGAGTGTCCTATGTGGTGCTATTAAAATCCTTTAGAAACTTAGCAGTAATTCATATATCATTATTATCAGTGTAGCCATGCTCTGGGATTTATTCTCCATTCTGAATTTGTCCTTTCATCCCCTGGTCAAAGAGAAAATAGGCGCAACATAAATGTTTTGAATTCTTATAATGCCATACATATCTTTATGAAATATCTCTTAAAAATCAAAAAAGGAAACGCTGAAAATCATTCTTTTCTTTTGCTATTTCAACTTGAATCTTTCTGTTTCCCCTTGTAAGGAACCTATCCCTGAAGCTATCAAAAGAAGTGGAGCAAGGAGAAGCCAGGTACCCTCGTGTCAGCCAGCTGGCTGGCAGCCCGTCGGTGGAGTGGCCTTTTGCTGGTCTGGAGGAAGGGGGAGGAATTGAATCTTTGCCCTTCAGATTGATGCTGCAGGACTGCACAGCTGTAAAGACACTGCTGCTGAAAATGAAGAGGGTTCTTCAGGAGGTAAGCGCTCATTTATTAACTTAATAGCTTGCAGGATTATTGCAGTAGAAGAGGATCACAAAAATATTATGGCCTTGATGTCTTTTAATATGTTTTCAGTATATGGAATTGGTACAGAAGTCTTTCCTTTGACTGTTTGAAACCCTGAGACAATATAGGAATTTCTACTCCAAGTGGCAACTGGTGTAAAAGGAGGGAGGACATGCTATGAATCAGCTTGGAACAGAACATCTTTTTAATTATTTTATTTCATTACTGCTTATTCTCTCTGGTATAAGTCTCATTTCTAGAGTGCAGTTTGTATCTTCAACCCGCAGTGATGAGTAGTGCCTCAGTGTGGTAAACTTCAGAAAGCTTATGCCTATACTAGAATTTAACTGATACTGCCATCTCTTTGTAAATTGCTCTTAAACCTTGAGCAAAAATGTGGAGGGATGGAATGAGCTGCTTAAGGTTAAAATATTGTTCTATCTTTTACCTTTCCTATGTTAGAGATTTTCAATTTTCTGTCTGTATTTGCTATTGACCAGGAAGTTATACGCAATTAATTCAGAGAAGAGATGCACGAGGAAGGAAAATGCTCTTCTGAGTATTCTAGAGATATTAATGTTAAAGGTTACCAGCTTAGGTTTGTAAATGACAGGCAAAATTGGATTTCTCAGGCCATTCTAACAGTTTTGAGAATGCTGACTTGTTCACTCCTGCTGTATTCTCCAGGCTCCCTCATGAATTGTGGGATGAATTGAAAATTTTATTGTGCATTAAGTTCCCTTTAGGATTTTAGAAGAAACCAAATTATTATTGGTATTATCCAACTGTAGAGTTGTGATACAAATTAATTAATAACAACTTTTCAGTTTTGTGTCCATCTAGCACAGAACGCTGTTCTCTGAGATCTCAAAGAATGATCTTGTTGTTTTGTCCGTACAGTGCCTAGAAATAGAGAATAGTTTAGGTTCGGAGGACTCTGAAGGTTATCTCACAATATTGGGCAGGCAGTTTCCATGGAGAAAGTACAACACTTCTATTGTAACTAGATGTAATTTCTTCATCCAAAAGCTCCTTCTGCCCAAGCAATATCATAAATCCAACTCACAACAGTACAGAATTAAAAGATGTAAAAGAAGAATTCTTTCCTTACCATGGAAATCTCATGCATATTTAGGCCTACGCAAACATCGTTGTCGGCAGGTTTATATGGTACAGAAGTGAAATATTTTATGCCTAATACAATACAAAATAAATATATTTGTTCTGAAGAATAATAGTATGTCACATGCTTTAATCCACTTTTAAAAATACATGAAGCATGCAATATACATGGGAAACAAACCTACACATGAATTATTGGGGAGAAAAAGTTGCACTATTTCTGTTTTATAGCTGATATTATCCACAGAAGAAGAAATTACAGAAGTATATGCCTCCTTATTGAACAATAACATGTTAATCGAGTTAAAATATTAGCCCTGCTATTCAATATAATGATTCTTCTTAAGCACTAAGCTCCATCTCTAAGGTACAATCTAATTATGATCTGGCAAAATTTAATACCTGCCAAAACAATATACTGTTTTTTGTTGCATTGCTTGCGATTGAAGAATTTATATGGAAAAGCTACATTTAATGTATGCAGTCCTGAGCTGTGGGCTTATAAAGCTGTGGGTTTTGCTTATTAGCATTATCATGAAATGGGAAACTGAAGACATGGCAGTAACAGACAAGATTGCGAATGTTATTATGTAATGTGTTTAGTGGAAGTCTAATGAATGTTCATTCAATTACGAGAATTAATTACCACTTCACTTTTAGTGAAAAAGCACTGACAATGTCTCTTAATAATTATTTGCAAGTTCAGCCATGTAAGCAGGATGTCCCCAAATGCTCTGGGAATGAAGCTGCAGACCATCATCTGGACCGTCTCGTGTGCAAGGAAGCCTTAGTATCCTGCCAAAACTCTCCCAGGGAGTGTTTCTTAATCCCCTCTGGCAGCTTTTTCTCATGGATGTTCCCTTGCTGATAGACAGGTCTGCAATAAATGGGCTAAGCAAGACTTGTGGCCTGCGAAGTTAGTTTACTGAAGAAACATTGCCAGAGATGATCAGCACAGGCAGCTTGATAAAAGCCACTTCAGAGTATGAGACTTTATGAGCGGTTTTGTAGCCTGCCTGTGATTTATGGGGAGCTCTTGGTCTCCCTTTTCTCCACTGCAGTGATGTTTATCGAACCATTTGCTTCTCAGGGTCTAGCTGGCATTGACCTATGTTCAGTAGTAACTAGCTGATCCTCATATGAAAAAGCAGAAAAGGAAAATGGGGAGTTGGATGAATAAAACAGGTCAGTCCATCCTCCCCTCGGAAACTGAGTCCTTAACTCCAGTTTAGATGGGTATCTATATTCTGAACCGGTCCTCCAAATCACCATCATTGTCATTATAGACTTTTGTATAGACTTTTCTGTACTCTTCCAGGTGGGCTTGAAATTATTTCTCCCTAATAAACTCTTTATGGTTTGAGTTATAGCTAATTGAGACAATATTTGAAGGCCAGCTTATTGAGAGAACATTTAAGAGAATTGTCTTTATTGAAAGCATTGGTAGAACATTTTAGGCAGATATATGCCAGGGAAAATATCCCAGGTTTGTGCCTTGGAAGAGAGGGGTTTTATGCAAAAATAAACATATAGGATGAATACAGCTATTTTGGTCAAGTTGTTCAAAAGAGTAGGCTTAGGGTTTGTTGATTATTTTGGGCTGAAGCAGAGTGTACCACTATAAAGAAACCTTTGCCTGCTTTTAGGCTTTTTTTTTCCACAGGTCACATTGTCCCTGCGTTCTTTATGAAGCATATGTAGTGTTTTTTTTTTTTTGCCACGTTCTGCTTTTAGGCATTTTTATGAGCCTATCAAAAGTGATCTTGCTAGCTGGTAATGTAGCAAATTAAGATATGCTGTCCATGTGTTAATATAATTTATAGCATAAATTAATTAGTGTGGAACCCGTGCTTCTTTTGCAGCCCAGTAAAACACCATGCAGGCTGTGGACCTTTAGAAATTGAAGCTAGTTGCTACAAATAGCAATAGGGATACATCCCTCTGGACATACATTACATATTGTGCTTTGCTAATTAATAATTTATTTTACTGAGAGAAATTGTAACTGCCTGTGACTGTCATTAAAAGATGATGTTTCTGAAATAGTGCTTTTGGATTGCAGTGGAAAATGAGAGCCTTGGAAGACTTTCTCAAAATCAATGTGAGATCAGCCATGATAGTTGCCTGAGACTTGAGGCACAGAGTCAGGCCACCAGCTCCGCAATTAGCCTGTTGAACAGCAGTGGCTACATCACTTCTCCCCAGGCTCCTTTCACCTCATCAGTAAAAGTATGGTCATCTTTTATGCTGCACTTGCAGTGTACTAATAGAGAGCATTAAAAGAAAGCTAAGTGTCATTTGCAATATTCTGCAGTCTGACTACGAAGCAATATTGAGTAGTTTAACCATTCAGTCACTTTAAGTTGTGTTTTTTAAAGACATTGAAGTATTCCTGTGGTCCACCATGAAATGTATTGAGTTTACAAACATATGTCTGCTAGCCACTTAAGAAGCAATTGCAAGTTTAATACACTGTAAAATACTGCAAGTTTTCTTCTTTTTAAGTAACTTTGTAATTAGCCAGTGTAGCATTACTGATGTATTCAATGCCTCTGCATTTAATGCACTCCCTTTTATCAAGTAATTAATGCTGGAAATTGCTAATTCCTTCATTTCATGGTGGGCTGCCACTGCATATACCCATAAATTTAAATAATTAATTTAAAAAGTACTAGATTTAGTAATAGGATTTATCTTTTATAAACCTTCTTATAAGGCATTTTCACTCAGCAATACACCTTGACGCACCTTTGCTCGACTGTTTGCAATGCAAAAGCAGAGCTCTCCTGCACAGTTACTGTGTTTTCTAGTAGTTCCTCTCAGGGTAACTGGTTATATTAGGAGTTAGTGGCTGGAATGGGATGGTCTCCTCAGCAGCACAGATATTTTCCTTTAAGATAATCCAGTAGAAGTTATTTAATGGTAATAAGGAAAGCCAGCATTTGTGACTTGGTTAGATGTTTTGAAAGTACAAGACACCGTTTCTTTTCCCCCTCTTTTTAAGGCAAGCTCCCTAGGGCAATTGCTCCGTCCAATATTGCCATGTGTGCAGAGCCTTGCATATATGTACCTCTGAATTAGGCTGTGCCACTGCAATTCCAGTCCCAATACTTCCCAAGTTCATGTATCTAGTTGAATAAGCCTTAATAATGAAAAACTACAGAATCATCAGGCTTCCTTCCCTCCTCTTTATTCCACTTGTTCTCCCTGACCCCAAGGTTTAATCTGTGTAAACTAGCTAGATCTGGGTCCTGCTGGCATGTTGAAGCCAGGCTCACCATGAAACATCTTGTCCTCCCACATGTGGAGATTACACTGGTGTATGTGCTTTCACCACATGTGCAGCTGGCATGAGTTTTTTCCCTGTGCTTTGGCAGGGGTTTCGCCGAGTGCAGCGTTTGCATGTGGCACTGCTGCGTGCCACAGGCGCGCGGCTCTGCCTGGCGTGCTGCCCCGGCTGCCCAACAGGCCGCTTGGAACAGCACCTCGCCGAGAAGCATTAAAAATAGCAGCACCATTAGCATCTAATAGCCCAACATCAGCAATTCTGTGCAATTGTCTGTGATTGACTTGTGGCTGAAGACCATAAAATGATAAAAGCGGCGAAAACGAAGCCATTTTCCCTGTTGAGTACTTTCATGGATCAGATCCATTCCTGGAGGTCAATCAGCTAAATCCCTCCGGCCCTCCTTGGCAATGGAGCTGATCACACCCACTACCTTCTCTGATATATCTGCAAATACTGGAAAATGCCCTGCAAAATCATGAGCGAGCACTGGAAGGAATTCAGGAGGTGCAAAGAAGCCTGCAGAAGGAGTTGCTTGGACTTGGTTGTTAGAAAGAGCTTG